CATAAGGAGAAAGTGTTCAATATTACTAGCGATGTGAGTTGGTGGTAGAGTGCTTACCAAGCACGCGGGGAACTCCTGTGTTGCACACAGCAATGCAAAAAGAATGATCATGTTAATGATTTAGGTGCATCCCTACAAAGAGAGAGACCACTTAAGTTAGGCCTTCCCATAGAGTTTAGGATGCTGAGAGCAATGGGGGGGATGTTAATGTGTTCCCAAGGGCAGGAGAAAGTGTTCTGCTATGGACTGCTTCTAGAAGGAACTGCCTGTTACACATACAGTGTGAGAATCATTAGCTTGGGCATCCACAAAGACATACGAGCTGGTAGGTGTGGAGAAGGAGAGGGAGAGCCTCAAAGAACGGCTATAGACCTTGGACTGTAGACACTGTTGTAAGAACTGAAGTGCTGATTGAGGAGGACTCTACATTAAAGGAATACTGTAGGAGGAGGAGAGCCTGAAGTGCAAGCTCTGCAGCCATGAGTGGCTCGTGATGAAAGAGATTCCTCTGCAGGGAAGAGCAAGGGGGAGCAGAAAGAAGGAGGGAGAGGAGGGGATGGTAATGGTGGTAAAATCCACACCTACAACAGAGGGTCTTCTGTTGAGGTCAGGTTTTTTTTCTAGTGCGGCAGTAAAGGAATTGTTGTGTGCTGGCTCAATCTGAGAAGGGTCAATCACAAGCATTAAGGAAGGAGAAGACTTAGAAAAATTTAGATAAATTTGTCTTCTGTTACTACTGATTAGGTAACCTTATCAGTTTTCTTTGTTTTGTGATAGGTTCTGTTACACAACTCGGGCTGGACTTGAACTTACTATGCGACTCAGGTTGCCTCCAACTTGTGGGGGTCCTCCTGACTCTGCCTCCTGAGTACTGAGACAAGAGGTGTGTGCCAGCACACTCTCCCCTAATGGTTTTTGAGGAAAAAATGAAAATGAAGAAATTGTCTGACCTCACGTGGCTTAAAAATTGGAGGCTATCATCATGTAAGTGTGATGGAAAGGGATTTCTCAAGGATTCAGCAGATTTTAGGTGTGGTTGGTGTTTTTATTGTACAGAAGATTGAAATCCAGACTTTTTCTCTGGAAAACATTCTAAACCTTTTAATACCTTTAAAATTTTTGAAAGCAGATCTCACTATGTTTCCCAGGCTGCAGTCCACTTCTGGTGTTGTTTCTGCCTCTTGCAGTGCTGAGATGACAGGCATGTGCCACCATGGCTGGCTAACATGGGGATTTCTTAATCACCACTATTATCCATGATTGCCGTGCTTGGGTAAATGGAATTTCAGTGAGGCATGGTGCTGCCCCCCTTTCATCTCAGCCACTTGTGATGCTGAGGCAGGATTATTGCAATAGCAAGAGTGGGCTGGACAGTGGAGCAAGACCCAGAGACCATAAAGTGAAACCTCTGAGGCTGTATCTCCAGTCTAAAATAACTTGGTAACACATGGAAGACCGTGAAATCAGCCCAGGACTGAAGCATAAAAGAAAAAATGATAAGTGCTCAGTGGAAAATTTACTTTGATTTGGAATATTATACTGTTTGCCCACTAGTGTCTGTGGTACAATACTTGCTTACGATGCCAGGCAGCAGCAGGGAGTCCCTGCTCTGCCAGCTACAGGACATGAAGTGAAAGCATCCGATGATTTACGGTGCAGCACATTCAATAAATTACGGTGCATGAAACATTCAGCATTTTATTATGAAATAAGCTATGTGTTACATTTTCTCAAAGACAGGCCAATGTAAGTGTGTTTGTCAGTTTTAAAGGAGGCAAGCCTTAGCAATGTTTGCTAGATTATGTATTTTCACTTCATTTTCACCATATTATATTTTGAACTGGCTGTGGGTTGATCAAGACATTTTCCCTTGGTAACTCAAGCAGAATGTGTAGATTCATTCCTTCAACTCTTTGTAAAGTGCTGCTCTGTAAACTATGAAATTTATCCAGTAGTAACCTGTGCTGAATGCTGTATTAATCAGGTTCTCCCAAGGATCTGAACTGGGCTACATTACATGATATGTAGTGTTTTTGATAAAAACAAAACAAAACAAAACAGTGCTTTCCGTTGTATTTGTTGGGTTTGGTTTGCTGTGGTTTGATGGCACTGTTTATTTATCTGTTTTAGTACTATACAGAGGTGTACCACTCTGGTCATAGTGTCTGGCTAGTTCCACGGTAGAAACCGTCAATGATCAGACACAGAGCCAAGCGGTTTCACCACAATACACCAAGAATATACAATGCTGCAAAGAAAATACTTACATTCCTAGTTTGTTTTATGCTGATTGTGGAACCATTCTTACTGCTTTAGTCTTGAAGAAAGTATGTGGCTTTCTACTTTACTCTTTTCTGGTTTCCCACTGCTTCTTTCTTCCATTGATGGGCTGATCTCATGTCTGCCTACAACTCTCACTTCCCAGACTGAGGGCTTTGTTTTCTTCCCAGTGAGTTAAATATCTCTAGGTCTAATGATGACCTCAGGCATTTGTTCTGTGTTCCATATGTGGCTAGAGTCTGCAGTACATGGAACCACCTGAGTTCTCCTGAATTTCACACAGTCTGTGAACTACACTCTCATATTCTCATCCTGAAGAAGCCCGTGGGCATCACCTCTGCAGAAGAACATAGCTGAGATAAAGCACAGAGCTTCAGTTTACTCACTCCTTATTCTGGCCTCTACATACCCACTGTGTCTCATCATAGCACAACAAGCTGTGGAGATCTTTGTGGGTTTCGGCTTTATTGGAATCGGTAAGGCAATGGGGAAGTGGTAGGAGAAAAGACATAGCATGAAGCATGCTGGAGCATGCCTGTAATCCAAAAGGACTGCCTTGAGTTGAGGCCAGCCTGGGCTACATAGTGAGACCCTGTCTCAGAGAGAGGTAAAGATAGGTAGGTAGGTAGATACATAGATGGTTAGATAGATAGATAGATAGATAGATAGATAGATAGATAGATGATAGATAAAGAGTTCAAGTACAAACTGAGATTTTTTTTGTCACTCAGCTTGAGTTGTGATGCAGAGTTAGGAAATTGCCATCTTATACGGTCTTTTTGCCCTCTTAGGGTGCCATGTCATCCAGGACCTTATGTGACCGCTACCTGCTAATTCACAGATTTTCAGCCACTGGTGATTCCATACTAGAGAAAACACGCGGAGGTAACATAACCTCTCATCTGCTGTATCCACAATGATGGGAAGGCAGGCTTTTCCAGTTTGTCAGTGATGTAAGAGCCCTAGAAGCATTCCTTTCCCTGCTGCCCTGGAAGCTGATTAGGGAAAATGCTGCGATGCTCCAGAGCGTGTTTGCTAGTTTACAGTGTCTTTAAGATCTAATACACACTCTCCACACCACCAGCAGAGGACAAAAATTCCAATTTCTCTTCCCAACAAACTCTAGATGCTTTCAATTTTGATGAATTTTACTGATTTTAATTGGTATTCATTTCAATTTTTCCTGTCTTTTATGCCTTTTTCTCCTTTCTTGTAAGCCCTTCCATAATTAATTTTGCATATATTCCATGCTCATATTTGTGTTGAAGGTTTTTTAATAATCTGTTTTCTCTTCTAGTTTATTTATCACTTGTAGAGAATGAAAATATCATGCATAATTTTTAATATGCAGGTTAATTTTATCAAGGATATTCTTTGCATAACAGAAATCCTGTTAGCTTCTTTTGTATCTTTTTATAGTCACCGTAATATTTATGCCTTATAAATCTATATCTGAAGATTTCTCCACTCTTACCACATGACAAAATGATTTTCTTGTACTTAGTTCTGTGTGTTATAGTTTCTTATTTCATAATTTTGCCTTATGTGTGCCCGGAGTGCCCCTTTGATAGTTTGTGAAGAAAAATCAGGTTTACTCATTCCATAAAATGTGCAATCACTTGTTCTTCTTGATTTGTACTGCCAACCATATCAAATCTCTCTTTTAATAAAGCAAAAGGTACTTTTTGGAATTTCTTATAAATTTAGTTTGTCTAAATGTTGTGCCATATTTAGACTTGAAAGATGGTAACTCTACAGTGTGTCCCCCAAAACTGAAAGGGAATCTTCTCTTTACTTTTTAATTTGAGATTTGAAAATTATAGCGCTGTCCTTTATTTTTCAGAAGGGATTGTAAAAGATGTTTGTCACATTCGTATTTGCTTCAGTGGTATTATAAATATTGTTGTATTAAGAATATAATTTGAAGAGTTTACAGCATATTACATCATGAAGTCTAAGTCTGTACATTATTTTTCCCATATTCGGATCATCTTGTCCAATTTATTTTTCTTTTGGTGTTTTCAGACAGGGGTTCCCTGTGTAATTCAGGTGATCTTGGACTCATTATATATAGCCCAGGCTGGGCAAGAACCTGTGTTGTTCTTCTTTCTCAACCCACCCAGCTGCTGAGATTATAGACATGTGTACCAGGCCTGGCTGTCAAATTTTATTTGTGCATAATATTTTTTTCTATGACTGTGTTGCAGATCTTTAAAGAATTTGTTGATAAGGTTTTATAAATGTGGATATTTAAGTGCTTGGATGTGTATAGCTATTTCTCATTATTGATGAAGTGTTTCCTTTACAATGATATGTGAGGAAAGTTTTCTTGTACAAAACAAAATATTGGCACAGTTTGATACAAGTAAGATAATGTTCTATTTGCTAACTCTTCCTAAGCAGATGGAAGAAGTGTATGTGAAAATTGATAAAATTCAACCTTTAATAAAATGTTGAATCCTTAATATTCTTAAAAACAAAAGACGATTGCAGTTACTATGTGTATAGTGACCTTGATAAAAAATACTTGAGAGCTATTTTTTTATAGTATGTTTTCTGGTTTGGAATCACTTGGATTTATTGTATTCACATAGTTTTAGTGAGTATTAAATCTATGAAAAAGACTATATTATTTTCCAGTCCATCTCTGGCAAGATAGATGTTCTTGTTCTAAGATGTTATATCTTGATACTTATATCATTGTGGATAATGATTTTTGCCTCTTCCATTTCAATCCTTAGGTCACTTATTTCTTTTCTTTGCATTATAACATGACGAATGAATTTCGGTCTCATTGTGACAGAGCAGTTGAGAATGACTATGCTTGAGTTGTTTCTGATCCTAAAAGAACTCATGTGGAGTGTCTCCACTTAGAGTCCCATATGTTAGTGTTATGGCCTGTATGCTTTAGTCCCTTTTGGCCTCTTATTAGAGACCTTTAATAAATAATAGAAATTAAGATTTAGAAAACGTGTTTATGCCCAGATTCAAATAATTACATGAGCGTTTTCTTTGTTTATGTTTCTGATGCTCCTTTATCCTAAACTTTGATAAAATATACAGAAATCAGTTAATTATGATATTATCACTGTGTATGTATATATGTGTGTATGTGTATGTGTGTGTTTGTGTATGTGTACTACTTCAGACTGTATCTAGAGCATCACATGTGATAGGGATTGATGCTAGCACTTAGTGTCCTGCCTAGATGAGAAGCTATTTTTTAATCAACACTTATAATTTACTATTTAATATTTTATTCTGGCATTGAAAACCTGCATGCATAGATGCTATACAGCATTTTCTTGTAAACATGTTGCCTAGTTTTAGATAAAGGTCACATTAACTTGATGAAATTTCTGCAGAATTTTCCTATGTATTTATGTATTTATATATTTATAGACAGGATCTTGTTATGTAGACCAGGCTGGCCTTGAACTCACTATGTAGCCCAGGCTGGCTTTGAACTCATGGGAATCCTCCTGCCTCAGACTTGCAAGTCCTGGGATTACAGATGTGTACCATAATGCCTGGTTCTCCTGTCCTTTTTATTATTACACATGTGAGACCTTGTCTAGCTGAGCATATCTTTTTTAGTATAGTGGTTGGATTAGTGTATATTTTATATCCATAACAAACATGTGCATCATGAGGAACTGGTGTATCTCATCTTGATCTATATCTTAAAGTTTTATGGAAGCATGTGTAATCCCATCCATAGATAAATATATGAAGGGAAGTTTTTGCTTGCTACTTGTGTTGCTTTCCAGCTTCTTGGGTTCTCCACAATCCCTCTTATTCAAATAACATATTTAAAATTTTACATGTTATTAAAAATTTCTATCTAGATCTAACGTTCATTAAATGATGATTCAGTTATACTTTTTATCTTAAAATATCCTCGATCAGCCAGGTGCAGAGGTATACTCATGCAATCCCAGTATTACGGAGGTTAATCAACAGGATCAAAATTGAATGGTCATCATAGACCACATGGTGACTCTTACTCAGAAAATAAAGTATCAGTGGTCTTTGTAAACAGTTCTCATTTTCATAGCAAGTTTTGCTGTTGCACCAGCCTTGTTGTTACTCCCTGTCTTGTTCATATTTTTGAGATTATTGATTTCAGTTTTATTAAGGAGTGGTTGTATTATTATTTGTCATAAACTGTTTTGCTAAACTTATTTCTTAAAACCAGTGTATTTAACTGAGTTTTTTAAATTTTCAAACTTTGATAATAGTCTTAAATTATCACCTAATTCTAAATATTTCAAAATTCATTTTGTGACTTACATTTTAAGTAGGAGATTTTTCACGAAGGAATTTTGCATCAAAAGCACATGAGGGGACTGAATGAATTTTAGGTGTAGAGCACATGCTTAGGGACACTGAAGCCCAGGATTCCCTTCCCCTGCCTGGCACTGAGAAATGAAAGCAAACGGGATTTGTACATCTATTCACTTTCTAAAACTTCCAGTTTTTCTATATTACAATTGAGACAATGGAGGAAGACTGCATACGTTCTAACAAAATTTTGTAAAAGTCGTCTGTTTGGAACTATTTAATCTGTTTCATTCAATGGTCTAAATATATCTAATACCTAGTGCATGAATAGTATTATGTGACTTACAATGATTCATCTATACTTCGCATTTCTGAAGTTAGTTAAAATTTGGAAGTACAATAATCTACGTATGTAATATTGACTTAACTATTTCTGCTTCTATCTTAGTGAAGTTGTGCTATGTACCACTGGAATTCCAGGGATCATTTCATATGTTTCTGATTTTATGCTGGCTGCATAACAAAGTCCTGCTAAATTGGTCATTTTTACCTTGAAATTGTGATCCTCTTGCTTCATATTTCTAATATGCTATGCTTGCACTTGTGTAGCACCATCTCTTGCCACATTCATTTTTATTTAATTAATTAATTAATTTTCAATGTTTGAGACAGAGTCTCTCTGTGTAGTTTAGACTGGCCTTTAGCTCACTATGAAACTTGAGGGAATCTACCTGCCTTAACCTCCTGGTCTGGGATTACAGGCATCCACCACCTTTCCTAGTTCTCATTTTTTAAAGAACATGAAACAAGATATCTGGAGTGAAAACCAATATATAGTGGTACCTTGTTTTATGAACTTAGTTTGTTTTACACTTTTTGATGCAGTTGTACTTGTATGGTTAAAATGGCCATGGTCATGTTTGTCATCAGATGTGCAGTTTGCAAATGAAAGCAAAATTTTGTTGAATGCTTTTATTTTCAAACCAAATTCTTTGCAAACAGAAGTGTTTGTGAAACAAAGTATTACTATATTTTAAATAATCAATTGAGACAAACACTATCAAAATAATGTTTTATATATCAACCCCATTCATATGTTTCCTAGAATATACACATGATGAGAAGCTTGATCTTCTGTGCCTGATTGTAATTGCACCAAAGGCATGCACTTTTCTGAAGACAGTGCTAAAAAAAATTAGTTACTAAATTTTGATTTAAGGCCTTAATACATTGGTCTCATTTTACTCTATCACCATAGTGAAGGCTAAGCCAATAATTATTAAATGGATGAGAAGGGAAACAGAGTAATGAACAAAACTTGATCATTAACATAAAATTTAATGAACAGTTATTGGCCTCTTAGGCTCATATACTCATTTTCAGTGGCTGACCACTGACCAAATCGAATGAGTCTATGTATTTGGTGAAGAATGAAAAAGGATCTCTTCAAAGCTAACAGTGAAGGGGCTGGGGATATAGCTCAGCGGCACAGCACCTGCATGGCAAGTGCAAGGTCATGAGTTCGATTCCCGGTACCGGAAAACAAACAAACAAAAAGAACAAAGCTAACAGTGATAGAGTGGCCTCTTTTCCTCAAATCACCATGTCTCCATTTAAAGGTGGACAGAGATATTTTAGCTTAATGAACAGTGTTCAGAGAGCACAGAAATAATGCAAATCTCCCTGTTTTCTTTATCTTTAACTCATTGTCTTCTTTATTGTGGAAAGGAAACTGAGCTTCAGGCTTCAGGTGTCATCATCTTCATATCTTGTTTTTCATCTGGACTGAGGAGTGGTGGGGAAGCTGTGCATGACCTAGGTCTCACAAAGCCACTTGTCTCTAAAGGGAAAAAAAACCCTAACTTTTGAAGTTCTGTTTTTCTGTCCTTACAATGTCATTTCATCTGTACTGCAGTCCAAGTTTTCACCATTGTATCTTTATTTTTTAATGGCTTTTAGCAGGTACAAGAGCTGTGCTTATATGGAAACACAGGGTACTCTAAGTTTTGTCAGTATTTTGCTGGGCTGGTTACAGTTCCCCCTATATTACTCCAGCCCTCAGTCTCAAGGACCATAATTTGCCATATTACTGGTCTGGCTGTCTCATGTTGGGTTGGCATCTTGGTTTTATCAAGTGTAGCTAGATCATAAGCAGAGTCAAGCTTGACACTCAATCCTAAAAAAAGAAAATACTAAAAATTCTGAAGTAAAATGTAAAAAAAAAGCCAAATTCAGGAGATATCTAATGATTGCATGTTAGAAGGGCTTCTTGTTTCAGATAGTCTTGTAGAAGAACTCTCTTTTGTTACCTCTGCAGTTCCACCTATTTCACTAGTGTTGGTACATAAGCAACTCTTTGATGCTCACAATTCCCACATGTCTCTAATGCATCCGCTTCATTCTTTAAGGTATTTCCAGTTAACTATCTGCAGCCTTGTCCTGTAGTGCTGGTGATGGTGAGTCAGGAGATGTTCCACACTGGAGGGGATGTGACAGACAAGTGGAATCAAGTCGTAAGACCTTTTTGCCAAATTTGAACAATGTCAGAGTTTTAGAAAGAGTGATATTAGGCTAAATTTATCTAAAGTTCACTGTTGAGTTTAATTTTGTCTTATTTTGTAGTTAGCATCTTAAAACTTCAGAACTTTGACAAAGTAAGGATAATATTTTTGAGCACAATTGTCTCTTATCTAACAAGAGGAATATGGCTTTTGTCAATTATATGACTATAAACAATACACAAGATGTAATTAGCAAAACAACTTAGTTACTTTTACAGCATATTAAGACAACAAGCATGACTGATTATTTTATATTAGCATAAAGACATTTTTAAAAATAAAGTCACAATATTAGTTTATGAAGAACTGTAAAATAATCAGAATTATAAAATAAAACTTTAAGTACAGAGCTAAGTATATATGAAATTCCTAAGACTTAATATTTTAAATATTTAATCCTAATTAGACAAGAAAACATTACAAATAGTTTACATAAATTTAAAACTTTTTAAAAAGTTTGTTGGTCTTGAGGTCATGTATCATATTTGGTGTTTTTGTGTTGTTTTGATTTTGTCTCCATTGATGTGTTTGTCAGTTTTTAAAAAATTTTTTTAATTAAAAAATTAAAAACAAAAAAAAAACAAAAAACAAACAAAAAAAGTCTGTTGTCAATCTTGTTGAGAACAGTTCAATAAAGAAACAGTAGATCAATATCCTAAGCCTTCTTGCTTCAAACATACTAACACTATGCCTTTGTATTATATTTTTAACTTTTCAAAAATATTGTTATAAAATTCTCTAATTAGAAATGTTTTATTCAAATGTTAATAAATATGTACTCTATAACAAAAATATAACTTTTTTTTTGTACTGGGAATTGAACTCAGGACCTTGCACCTGCCAGACAGGTGCTGCACTGCTGAGCTATATCTCCAGCCCCATAATTTTTATATTATTACAAAATTATGTCACCCCACACGAGTTATCAGTATTTTAAAAACTTGTTATTAAATCACATTTTTGTCCCAAACTGCCACATATATGTATTATATAAGCAAGCCTTGTTCATTTAGGAAAGAAAATATAACATTCTGGAGATGGAACATTTTCTCAATCTTATACAAGAATTTTCACCTTTCACAATAGCAGCTAAAAAGATGAAATACTTAGGAATCAATCTAACAAAAGAAGTAAAACATCTATACAGTGAAAATTATAGTACTCTGAAAAAACAGGTCAAATAGAATATCAGAAAATGAAAATCTATTCCTTGCTCGTGGATAGGAAGAACCAACATTGTGAAAATGGCCTTACTCCCAAAATTGTTGTACAGATTCAATGCAATCCCAATTAAAATACCACTAGTATACCTCACAAATCTAGAGAAAACACTCCTAAAATTCATCTGGAACCAGAAGAGGCCTAGAATAGCAAAAGCAATCTTGGGAAACAAAGGAAGGCAGGAGGCATCACAATTCCTGACTTAAAATTATATTACAAA